ATCTCTTACCCGCGCTCGTAGGCAGGACCCTTGCGCTGGCGGCAAAAAAAGGGCCACGCTTTGTTGTGACGTGCTCGGGCTCTGGCCAGCGAGCGCGCCTGAGTGGATTAATAAATCCTCTGGTCTCCTCCTCCTGCTCCTATCCCCGCCCGGCCCATTTCTGCGCGCTCCTCGCCGGAGAAGTCGAAGGCGGGCGCGCGAGTGGGGGGTGGGGGGGGGGGGGGCAAAGATCGGGGTCCTGCACTTCGCTTGCGTCCCACTACGTTTACGTATCTCCTACCCGTACTCGTAGGCAGGACCCGTGCACCGGCGGCCAAAAAGTGCCGCGCTTTGTTGTGACGCGCTTGGGCCCTCACCCCACGGGGATGGCCCGCGAGCGCGCCATTCATGCATCTTCTGGCCTGCTTGCTTTGCTATGCAGTCACGGGCAATCCCCTGGCCAATCTCCCGCCAAAACATCACTATAGCCGAGCAAGTCGGGAGGCCAAATCCTGCCCCCTTTCAACGATTTGTTAAATGGGCATGACATTGCGGAAAGTTTGCAATGGCTTGGTACCCCGCACCTCGCCTCGACGGAGCTTCCTCAACTCCGATGAGGACGTTCCCAAACAAGGTTTGAATAGCCTGCGGTTTCGTACGCTGGACGTGAAGCCCCCGCAGCCAAAACAAAATACAATCGGCAGCTTCGGACCTACAATCCAGCCAGGCGATGGCCGTTTCCATAGGCTTTACGGGGGTCCTCGTTTGGGCATCGAGTGTCCCCAGTGTCCCAGATGGGACCAAAATGCTCCGAGATGTCCCAATATGATCCCTTGCCTGCTCGACAAGAGCCCAGGGGCGCCCTCACTACCAACCCCGACGGATCTCTGAATCACCAGCGCATCCATGATTGGCAATTTGCGATGCGAGTCCCCTGGGCGCGGTTAGAACCTAAGCGCGCGCAAAGCGCCCCGCGTGGTTCTAGTATATTTATATATATATATATATATATATAATGGAGGATGATGATTGAAAAATGACCGGGGGTCGTGTTCACGCGGCGGCGCCCGGGATGATGATTGAAAAAAAAACCAGCCCCGGGCTGGGAAACTATTGTTTTAATCGTCCCCCCCGCTGTTCTCGGGCGCGTGCCCCCCCCGGTGACGAAACACCGCACAGGCGAGCCCTGCTTCTGAGCGTTCCCCCCCGGTGTGGAAAACTATTTTTTGAATCGTTCCCCCCTCCTTTTTTTCTTAATCGTCATCCCACGTTATATATATATATATATGTATATATATGTGTGTATATATACATATATATACATAATTTTCGTCCAAGCTCCGCCCGTGTGGGGGGCACGCCCAACCCGAAGATCGTGGAGTCTGCGCGTGCCGCTCGGCGCAGGCCAGCTCGCGCGTCGTGCCGGCGCGGCGGCCGCGGGCGTTCCGGGCGGAGCGCCGCCAGTGGGCCAGGCGTCGGCCCACCAGTGGAGAGGCCTGGCGACCGTCGGGCCAACCGAGAGGGGGTGGAGATAGGCAAGCAGCGGCGAAGCGTCCTGGCTCGCCTATAGCCCTCAATGTTCTAAGAAGCTTTTGTGGTTTCCACGAGGTGTACTTCGCACGTTTCTGGCGGGGTCTGTCTTGTTTTATCACATCGGGTTCATGTTCTGAGAACATTGTTTTTGCTCTTAGAACAGTTTGGGGTTCTAAGAGCATTTCGTGGTAGGACTATAGGAATGCCGGGACGGTCGGTCCCTGCTCAAGATAGGGAAAGGGGGGTTTTAGATGCTCGTTTGGGGGACCTTCCTGGGGCCCACCTAACGGATCTGTTCTACTCAAGTTTGGCTCAAGTTCGAATCGTGTTCGACTCAAGTTCGACTCAAGTTCGACTCAGGTTCGGCTCAGGGTCGACTCAGGGTCGACGGACGTTCGACGCAGCTTCGACACACGAGTGGAGCGAGTGTCTCCAGGAAGGTCCCCAGAATGAGCATCCAAGGGGTCGGGGGTGGGCAGACCTCCTACCCTGACACGTCGATTAGCGAATTGGCCGTTTTCGGTTCGCGAGAGGGCGTCGCGGCCGTCATTTTTGCAGGTCCAGGTCCGTCGGTTTCGGTCCCAGGCCGTTCGCACAAAAGGGTGGTTTACTAAAGGGAGGTTTGTCCACCGCCGAGGGGGGTTACGAAATCTGCTGCATGCAGCTGGTTTCGGCCCCGCCGCCGGGACCATTCCTCGATACATGGGCGCCTCCGGCGCCGGGAGGCGCCGGAAAAATCAGCTATACGTGAGCTGATCTCCTCCTTTCGCTTTGCCATTCCCTTCTTTCGCCCAGCCCGAGATCGACAAGCGTCAGAGACTAACGCCGGGGTCGTCACGGCACGAGCCGGCTGTGGGCAGTACTCTTGGGCACGGCGCTCCCGATGGCTCCTGTGCGCAGAGGGTGTCGCAGTCGCAGTTCATGTGGCGCCCGCGGCAATCTGTCCTTTCTCATGCGAGGCATCGGCAAGCTGCACGCTTCTCTGTGGCGCCTTTTTCTCGCACAGTCGGACCGAGACAGAAGATAGAGGTTGGTTCGGGGAGGGGGCGCCTGATGGTCTTCGTGTTTGTTGGATGCTCGTGTGCACCCTGGGGAGGGTGCCCCTGGATGTTCTGTGTGTTGTGGCCGCCGGAAGGTCTCACGTTCTTGAAGGATGCTCTTCTGTCCTACATCCCTCCTCGACATCAAGCGTAAGTCTTTCCCGCGACGTGGCGGCGCCCCTACAGACCCCAAACTGTCGATATTCGCACGGAAGCTGGTGGCTGTCAACACAAACTTCTAACCCCGCGGGCCGCGTGGCGCGCGCCGGTCCAGATTATGTATATAACAACCTCCAGGAGGGGAACAAAAACATACAGACACAATCCATCGTCGATTCCCCCGAAAATATAGGAAAATTTGGGAAGTGGGGGGGAAGACAAACACCCCAAAACTATCGGAAAACGTGGGGATTCCTGTGTTTTGTGTGTGTGTGTGTGTACTTGTTTGTGTGTCACAGAGCCAATCAAACTTGCGCTTGACTGCGAGGAGGGTTGCAGGTCCGACTGTAGTCGGCGTCACCCCAACATTCTTCGAGTTCCCAGAACTCCATTCCTGGGCATGATTTTGAATGCCCCGAGCCAACTGTAGGCCACTTCGTGGTCTTCGAGTTCCCAGAACTCCATTCCTGGGCATGATTTTGAATGCCCGGAGCCAACTGTAGGCCACTTCGTGTTCTTCGAGTTCCCAGAACTCCATTCCTGGGCGTGATTTTGAATGCCCGGAGCCAACTGTAGGCCACTTCGTGTTCTTCGAGTTCCCAGAAGTCCATTCCCGAGACTACAAGCTGATTGCTGATGCAGGCTGAGGCTGAGGCTGATGCAGGCTGAGGCTGAGGCAGGCTGAGGCTGAGGCTGAGGCTGAGGCTGAGGCTGAGGCTGAGGCTGAGGCTGAGGCTGAGGCTGAGGCTGAGGCTGAGGCAGGCTGAGGCTGAGGCTGAGGCAGGCTGATGCTGAGGCTGAGGCAGGCTGAGGCTGAGGCTGAGGCTGATGCAGGCTGAGGCTGAGGCAGCTGAGGCAGAGCCGAGGCTGAAGGCAGACTGAGGCTGAGGCTGCAGGCTGAGGCTGAGGCTGAGGCAGGCTGAGGCTGAGGCAGGCTGAGGCTGAGGCTGAGGCAGGCTGAGGCTGAGGCTGAGGCTGAGATGCTGAGGCTGAGGCTGAAGCAGGCTGAGGCTGAGGCTGAGGCAGGCTGAGGCTGAGGCAGGCTGAGGCTGAGGCTGAGGCTGAGGCTGAGGCTGACTGAGGCTGGCTGAGGCTGAGGCTGGCTGAGGCTGAGGCTGAGGCAGGCTGAGGCTGAGGCAGGCTGAGGCTGAGGCTGTGACTGCGACTGCCGTTGCCACTGCGACTGTCATCGCGAATGCGACTGCGACTACGAGAACATCAGAATTCTGCAACTGGATTCTCGTCTGAATCGTAAGGGGAATGCTTCCAGATGTGCTTCTACACATCGCGGTTAGGTTGCCTTGCCGGGATGAATTTTATGCTTCGTCGAAAATCCCCCGTGCAGGGGGACAGGCCCGACTGAACCGCAGCCGCTCGGGCCGCGCGCCCCGCCCGCCCGCGCCCGGGGCCCCGCGCGCGCCGCCGCGCAGATGGGCGCATGAGCCCGCGGCGCCCGCGCGCGCGGGCGCTGCCGCGGCGCCTGGCCCCGCTCTGGCCGGCCCTGGCCTGGGCCCCGGCGGCGGGGTCGCCGGAGCCGGAGGGGGCGCCGGGAGGCAGCGCCGCGGCGAGCGAGGGGGGGGGGGGGAGAAGGAGCGAGCTTCGAGGGTCGAGGTCAGATTTCGCAGACGCTCCGATCGCTGGTTCGCGGCGGCGTTCTGGCCTCCCGGGATGCTGGCCAGCAGCAGCGCCTCGCCGAGGGCGCTCCGGGGGTGCCCAGAGATCGTCCCGCACGGCCGCCAGAGACGCGAGATATATGACCCAGGATCCAAATTCGGCGGCGAGCGAAGGGGGGGAAGCGGGAATCAGGAGGGACCCAGAAAATATAGGAAAGTATGGGAAGTGGGGGGGAAGACAAAAACATAGAAAATATGAGAAGATATAGGGAGTCATGTTATCTGTGTCTAATTATTTGTGTGTCCCAGGGCCCCTGCAGGGAAGGAAAAGGCCTGCTCGGACGGCCGCGCGGGGCTTCTCAGAAGCCCCTCGCGCCGTCCGAGGAGTTGTTGCTGTGTCCTTCGGGGGAGGCCGGCGGAGCCTCACGGCAGGCCAGGGTGCGTCCGAGCCCCTTCTGCAAGGAGGCAGGGCCAGCCGGACCCGACAGTATTGTATTGGCGTTTACCAAGCGGCCCTGGGCGTTGGCTAAACAGCCCTGCTCTGTTTGATCTCTTCCTTGGGTGCGTTTGCTGAACGGCCTCGCGTGCCAGGGTGGTTCTCATCGGGGTGGACTTTCTGCCCTTTGCTTCTGTGAAGGCCTTCTCCTTCCCACTTCCCCCCCGGGCTGGCTGCCGAAGGCAGCGCCGCGGCGTGGGAGCGCGCCTCGTGGGAGCTGGGGCTGGCCACCTGGGAGGCCCCCGGCTGCGCGTGCAGCGGCGCCTGGGACGACTTCCGCCGGCTCCTCAACTGGACGTCGGAGGAGGAAGAGGTGCCGACCCAGACATGATCTCGCGTCGTAACAGAAATCAGGACAAGAGGTTTTTGGCTATTTTCGGCCCTGGGGGCCCTCGCCGGGCACCCGGGGGAAGGGTCAGGACTTCCAGGGACGCCGTCCTGAAAATATCAGAAGGAGCGTGTTCTACCGCTGCTGGCAGAAAACTGGAGGGGGTCACTACCGGTTCGAACCCCCCCCCCCGTCCGGAAAACCGGGGGGGGTCACTACCGGTTCGAACCCCTCCCCCCCCCCCCCAGCAGTTCATCATGAAAAAAGGGGGGGGGGTCACTATACCGGTTCGAACCCCCCCCCTCGGAAACTGGGGGGTTCACTACCGGTTCGAACCCCCCCCCCCCTCCCTCGAAAACCGAGGGGGGGTGCGGATAGTGGTGGGGACGGTGGTGGTGGGGACAGTGGTGAGGGGACAGCGAGACAGTGGTGGGGACAGTGGGACAGTGGTGGGGACGGTAGTGGTGGGGACAGTGGTGAGGACAATGGTGGGAACAGTGGGGACAGTGAACAGTGGTGGGGACGGTGGTGGTGGGGACAGTGGTGTGGGGACAGTGGGAATGAGGTGGAGACAGTGGGACAGTGGAGGGCACAGTGGTGAAGGCGGTGGCGAGGACGGCGGTGGGACAATGGGACAGAGGTACAGTGGGGACAGTGGTGGGGACAGTGGGGACAGTGGTGGGAACAGTGGGACAGCTCAGTGGGACAGCGGAGGAGTCAGTGGGACAGTGGGGACAGTGGGGATAGTCGGGCAGTGGTTGGGGCCGTGGAGAAAGTGGGGAGAGTGGAACCGTGGTGGGAACAGTGGTGGGGACAGTGGGGACAGTGCGACAGTGGTGGGGGCACTGGTGGGGACAGTAGGGACGGTGGTGGAACCAGTGGGGACAGTGGTGGTGAGGACAGTGGTGCTGGGAACAACAGTGGGGGATGTGGTGCGGACGGTGGTAGGGACCGGGAGTCGTTTGCTGGCGGTGAGTGGGGGGGGGTGGGGAGGGGTTCGAACCGGTAGTGACCCCCCTCGGTTTTCGAGGGGGGGGGGGTTCCAACCGGTAGTGACCCCCGGTTTTCGAGGGGGAGGGGAACGGGAGGGGGGGGGGGGGTTTGCCGGGGGGGGAGAGCGGTGGGGGGGGGGAGGGATTTTCGGAGGGGGGGGGACCCCCGGGTTCTGGAGGAAGAGGGGGGCAATTTTCCACAGTGAAGCGGCGGTGGATCACGCCCTCTCGTAAATATCAGGACGTCGCATGTCTGGGGATCTACCACTGATCGTCTGAGACAGCTCTCGTCGCCACGGCTGGATTCGAGATTCGCCCAGGCATTCTAGTCGGAACGCGCCCCAGGAGCGGTCCGGGGAGTAGCGGTATCGGTACCACCTTGCCCCCGCTGCAGGACGGTCGTCCACGCCGGCGCCGACACCCCGCTCGAGGCCACCCCCCACGGCGAGCGGCTCTGCCAGCGCCACGCCGAGCCGCTGGTGCTCGCGTCGCTGGGCCGGGACCTGCTGGGCCTCGCGCGCGAGGGCGCCGTCGCCGAGAGGCATCCGTGCCCGGCCGGCCTGGCCGCCGCGCTGAGCCTCTGCGCGGCGGTCGCCTCGCACAGCCAGCAGGCCGCCCTCGAAGAGGGCGGCGGCGCTCGGCCGGGCCGCGGGGCCGACGAGGCCGCGGCGGCGGCCGCCGGCGAGGACGGCGTGGACTGGGCGGCGGCGTTCGCGGCCTGGCCGCACCGCCTCCCGCAGGACTGCTCCAGCAGGGCCCCGTGCCGGGCGCACCTGCAGGCGTACCTCGCGGTGCGGGTGCTGTTGCACTGCCTGCACTGCCTGGAGGCCTCGCCGTGGCCCGTGAGCGGCAGCGAGATCCTGGACAACGCGATGCTGTGGCTCCGGGCCTCGCACGCCGCGCCAGGGCGTGACCTGCCACCGCCGTGGCGCGGTGCCCTGGCCGCCCAGCGCGCCAAGAGGAGGCCCGGGCTCGTCCTGGCGGGCCTCTTCGCCGGCTCCGAGGCCTTCGGCGGGGACCCCTCTGGTGTCTCGGATCTGCTGAGGCAGGTGGCCGAGGGCTGGGCGCCGCCGCCGCCGACGGCGGGCCGGCTTCCGCCGCCAGCGGGGCCCGGCACGGCGGCGCGGCACTTCGCGAGCATCTTCGGCGCGCTGGCGCGGCCCGGGGACTTCGGGGCGAGGGGGCCGCTGGGCGTGCGCGCGCGCCCCCACGGGGCGGACTTTGCGGGGCGCCGCGCGGGCCTGCGCTTCTTCGTGTACGGCCTGCCCCGCGAGGCGCACTCGGGCCTGCTCGCCCTGCTGCACGGGAGGGTGCGCGAGGCCACCGCGACGCCCTGCAACTGCGACTTCGGGCTTTCGCAGTGCACCGAGCACTCCACCAGCGTTAAGTCGGGCATGTCCCTCTACGGGAGGAGTATTCAGAAATAGTCAAAAAATCGTATGGGGACGATTTTGCTACTATTTTATCAATTTTTGTTTTTTTCTATTGCGAAGGCCTCACGGCCGGAGCCGCCGACCCTGAATGGCGACGACGACGACGACGACGACGAGCGCTCTCGGGGGCCTCTTGGGGGTAGTTTGGGTTCCTGGGGGTCTCTTCGGGGCTTCTTGGGGCTTCTTATGGGGGACCTCTCGGGGCCTCCTGAGAGCTTCTCAGGCCGAGGGCTCGACATGTCCGTTCGGGTACCCCGTCTGGGCTCTTCCTTGGAGCCGTCTAGGGGGCCTCTTCGGCTGTCTTGGAGGCCTCTTGGTCGGTCTTGGGGCCCTCTTGGGTCGTTTGGGGGCTCTCTTGGAGCCCTCTTGGGCCATCTTGGGGCCGTCTTGGGAGCTTCTCAGCATGTCTTGGAGCGCCGGGAAGCCGACAAGGTGAGAATGCCAAAATCTTTCAAACACTTACAGGAAATCTATGATTTTTGCCCCTTGGGACCCTCTTGGAAGTCCTCTTGGAGGCCTCTTGGGGCGTTTTGGAAACCTTTTGAGCCGTCTGGAGGCTACTTCGGCGACTTGGACGAACACATTGGCGATTCGGGGCCCTCGAGGACCGTCTTGGGGGCATCTTGGGGTAGTTTTGCCGCGTCTGGCGGCTTTTCTTGGCCGCCCAATCGCCCGAGGGGGGGTCGTACCTGCCCCGGGACCCCCCGAGACCCCTCCCCCAGGACCCCTCCCCGGGACCCCCCCGGGGCCCGGGACCTCACCCCTGGGACAACCCCCCCCGCCGGGGAAGGGATCAAAGAGAAGGGGCTTCCCTTCGACTCAACTTCAACGTTGCTCAATTTCGCTGTGGCTGGCGCGCTCGAGGAGGAGAACCCAGAGAAAATGGTGGGAACGGCGACGGGCCTAGGGAAAAGGGGGGAAGCGAGCGGCGAAGGCGACGACGACGACGACAACGACCGCGACGACGACGACGACAACGAATCAAACGGAACAGCCTCTTCCACATGCCGACAGGGTCGGCGGATTTTTATTCTTCCTCCAAAATCCCCCTTTAGGAGGACATGCCCGACCTAACACCAGCGGCGGCGCCTTCTCGGGCTACCGGCCCTACGCCGCGGAGGCGACGTTCTTGGCGAAGCTGCTGTCCGCGCCCGAGGGCGTGGTCGTCGACGACCCCGCCGAGGCGACCTTCTTCGTGGTGCCCTTCCTCGGGGAACGAACACTGACGTAAACATATAACATCTCGGGTTTCTCGGATCCGCGCTGGAGCCCCCCCGGCGGCGCCTCCGGCGCCGCCCTTGGCGCGCTCCGCGCGCCAGGGAGGGGGGTCCAGCGCGGATCCGAGAAATCCGCGCGGACCTCCGAGTTTTATGTTTACAGTCGGGGCCCTGAAGAAGGAGCCCTTTTGGTTGGGGAGGGGCTCCGCGTTCCTTAAGTGTTTCACAGCTTGTCTTGGGTTTTCCTTAGTTTTTCGATGGGAAATCGAAGGTTAACTTATGGGAAAAAGGGGCCTCGTTCCTTATTTAAGGTTCCTTAGGTCAACGCCCCCACTGTACGTCAGTCTTCGCTCCCCCTGCTTCCTGTCGTCCTCCTGGTGCTTCCTGGCGGCCCCGAAGTGCTGGGTGCGCTGCGGCGGCCTGCGGCCGCTGAACTCGCTGCTGCCGCTGCTGGACCACTACAACGCCTCGACGGCGCACAGGCTCGTGGGCTCGTTCTCCACCGCCGCCACCACCATCAGTAGGAGGGGGAGGGGATCCTCCTCCTCCTCCTGCTCCTCCTCATCATCATCATCATCAGCATCATCATCATCATCATCATCATCATCAGCAGCAGCAGCAGCATCATCATCATCAGCATCATCATCATCATCATCAGCATCAGCATCATCAGCATCATCATCATCATCATCATCAGCATCATCATCATCATCATCATCATCATCATCATCATCATCATCAGCATCATCATCATCATCTTCATCTTCATCTTCATCCTTCACCTCCTTCCCCCTCCAGCTTATGGTGGCGGTGGAAAACAGGCCCAACACAGGCACCTCTTCCTCGCGTCGGACTCGACGGGGGACCTGCCCCTCGACATCCAGATGCAGCCGCTGTCCCTGACCTACGGGCCGAACCCGTGCGAGCCTGGGGCGGGGCCGCTCATCGCGCCGCCACCAGTGACCGACGACCTTCCGGTGCCCGACGCGCAGCTCTTCGCCTCGAAGGACCTCTTCGTCTTCGCGGCGGACGGCGTCGACCGCCCATTCCGGAAGGAGGTCATCGAGGAGCTGGGCCGCTGGCAGCGGCACCTGCCACATCTCTTCGCCGTCGGCGTCCGCAGCGGAAAATCGAACGCGGAGTGGTCGCAGCCGATACGGCGCGCGCTCTTCTGCCCAGTGATGCCGGGGGACAACGTCTTCCGGATGCG